TATACCCAGTAATGGGATGGCTGGGTCAAATGGTATTTCTAGTTCTAGATCTTTGAGGAATCGCCACACTGTCTTCCACAATGGTTGAACTAGTTTACAGTCCCACTATCAGTGTAAAACAGACTTTAAACCAACAAAGTTCAAAAGAGACAAAGAAGGCCATTACATAATGATAAAGAGATCAATTCAACAAGAAGAGCTAACTATCCTAAATACATATGCACCTAATACAGAAGCACCCAGATTCATAAAGCAAGTCCTTAGAGACCTCCAAAGAGACTTAGACTTCCACACAATAATGATGGGAGACTTTAACACCCCACTGTCAACATTAGACATATCAACAAGACAGAAAGTTAAAAAGGATATCCAGGAATTGAACTCAGCTCCGCACCAAGCGGACCTAATAGATATCTACAGAACTTTCCACCCTGAATCAACAGAGTATGCGTTCTTCTCAGCAGCACATCGCACTTATTCCAAAATTGACCACATAGTTGGAAGTAAAGCACTCCTCAGCATATGTAAAATAATAGAAATTATAACAAACTGTCTCTGAGACCACAGTGCAATCAAACTAGAACTCAGGATTAAGAAACTCACTCAAAACCGCTCAACTACATGGAAACTGAACAACCTGCTTCTGAATGACTACTGGGTAAATAACGAAATGAAGGCAGAAATAAAGACGTTCTTTGAAACCAATGAGAACAAAGACACAACATACCAGAATCTCTGGGACACATTTAAAGCAGTGTGTAGAGGGAAATTTATAGCACTAAATGCCTCCAAGAGAAAGCAGGAAAGATCTAAAATTAATATTCTATTGCTGAGGACAATACAAATGCATTTCAAACTCATAGATAATCTTTGTCCTTTGAAGCTCTCTACTTGTTAAAGTTGGGTTTTGTATTGTATATTATATGATCTGAACATTTTCAAACGATTCTTAGCTAGGTTTATGATTCTTGGGATGACATACTCTAGTAATCATGTTAGAAAACCTAATAATATTAATTCCACCTTCTCATCACTTAGTAAAATTTTAACTTACGTGGATATTTTGTGAAACATCTGCCTTAAAACCAGATAGTTTTCTGTATGCCAGAGATAATATGTAAACAAATGCTTTCCTCTTCTTTAAGAGCTATCTGGAAATCAGCCTGTTTGAGAATGATAAGGCTTGATTAAGACCTAAACTCTCATTTAGGTTTTCATATCTCTTCTATGTCAGAGTTTATTAACATGGAGGAGCAAAAGGAGCTAAAATTTTCTCTATTTTTGCATTAAGAATCTCCTCTCTTCCATAGGAAAAAGCACATATGCCTACATTTTGTTGAGTATCATGACATTTTTAGATTAGCAGAAATCTAGGTCAGAGTTCTTCTGCCATCTTCAAGATATTGCCTTCCATTAAAAACAAAATGAAGACTGGAATTTCTCAAAGCAACCCCTGGATCATTTTCATTCAATTGATAAATTCTTAGATATATTATACATGGGAAGCTTTCTATAATGGCATTGCTGGTGTGAAAATGTTACAGAAACCAATTTCAGATGATTTCTGTCCTTGATAAAAAGAGCAATGTTAGGCCGGGCACGGTGGCTCACGCCTGTAATCCCAGCACTTTGGCGGATCACGAGGTCAGGAGATGGAGACCATCCTGGCTAACACGGTGAAACCCCGTCTCTATTAAAAATACCAAAAAAAAAAAAAAAAAAAAATTAGCCGGGTGCGGTGGCGGGGCCTGTAGTCCCAGCTACACGGGAGGCTGAGGCAGGAGAATGGCGGGAACCCAGGAGGCGGAGCTTGCAGTGAGCCAAGATCACGGCACTGTACTCCAGCTTGGGCCACAGAGCGAGACTCCGACTCCGTCTCGGAAAAAAAAAAAAAAAAAAGAGCAATGTTAGCTAATGTGGCACATACCTACAGATTGTTCTTAAAGGTAAGGCAGAGGTTTCCGTAGAGGGAGTAAAATAGTACATGCATTCTATTTGTGTTATCTGTGCAGAAGCCAGGCAAACACAAAAAGATTCACATTGTAAAATAATGTTAATTGAGAAGAATTTTAATAACACAAAAAACTACTAGTGACCTTGATTTGAAGTGCCAAATACTTGTGTTTGCTTTATCAGGCTAGATGCCCAAGTCAACGAGTTCACCAATCCTCTGCACAACCAGTCCACAAGAATTGCTTCCCATTCTTATGAAGCCAGGAACAATCTCAGGTACCGTGGCCAACTGAAGAATAAACGACAGGACTATTCTCCTTTTGTTTTATAAAGATACCCCACACCCAACTTGACCCTTTCTTTGAAATGCAGAAATTTCTAATTTTATGTGGGGTTACCTGTATAAACAGCTTTACACAAAAAAAGAAGTTCATGAATGTGTCATTGTGTGACATCTGGTAGGAAAGTATCAAACGTGATTTTCCCTTAAAAAGTCTGCAATTTAAAAAAGCATGATTGTGACATTAGTGTGACATTCTTTAGGTAGATCTAAAGGCTTGGTCAAATCAGATATTGTCATGATAGCTAATTAAGGTCTACTTTTGGTTTGAGGTTCATGAAGAAAGTTATGGTTTGGAAATATGAATGAGACATCAAAAAAAGAGACACTATAACATATTACACAAATATTCAAAAATAATCCTCATGTTCTGTAAAAGAATTACCGAGTGATCAAGTTTTGTAACAATACTTAGGAAGTAAACCAAGACAGTGGAAGTTAAAAACAAAATGGGAGATAAAATATTTTTGCAGTGCTGTATTAATACCACTCTAACATTGATGTTTCAACAATTATAGCTCAGAAGGAACATATATACATTACATTTTGCTTTGAATTGGAAAATAGCCTTGTTTATGTTATCCTTGCAAATAAACTTTAAACATGAAGTAGAATGATTTGTTTTGCAGCACTAACACTGGAGCCAAGCAGGCAGGACCAAAGGATACTGTTGTGTACACAAGGACATATGTGGAGAATAGGTATTCAAAATTTATTTCAAATATTTTGCTTCATTTTATAATTTTGAAAGGATCTATGTTTAATAAGAGATGCTATTGTTTTAGGGTGTGCTTCTTTCAAATAGAAGACCATTTATGAGTACACTGAGTTCTACATATATAATTCTCTATAATGTTTCTGATATTATGTACTTGGGCTATAAATAATTGTAGTCATTAGATGAACTCAATAATATTTTAATATAACACATGTATACATAATAGGGTTGCCATTTGAAAGTCCTCACATAAATGTATATAACTATATGGTTAAAATAAGCTTTATAAAATGCACAACTATTCCTATACTAATTTGGAGTTCCACTTGAATTAACTGATTCTATCTACAGTTGTTTACTGCCAATCTAAAATAACGGGTATAAATTTGAGTAGTGCATCCTGGCCCAAGTTGTACGATATTGATGTTTCAATTGAAATCTGCTGCTTGGAGTGATGGATATTGGGGAAAATGTAAACCAAGGTCAGGGCTCAACAATTCATTTGGTTTTCAAGGAATATGAAACAAGAATTGTCCCAATTGTGGAGTACAATAATGGTGGGGCACACAAATGCTGCTATATATGACCCATATGTTAAGACAAGCCCATTTCAAAAGGGTCTAAGAGAAGTGTATTCAGGCAGCCTTCTGTGTGGAAGGCAGTCGTGATGGGGATCCAGGAAATTCAATACATGTCAGGAGGTGAGTGATCTTCCAAAAAAGGTTTCTCAAACCCATGCATAATTTACCTTGCAAAATGCAACATCAAGATTGATTTTTTCCTTAATCCAATTCTCACTCTCTGGTGTGTTCAAGTCAGTGATTTCTGCTGTCTTTCAATTAAACTAAAATTTAAAACACTTCAGAGTAAACTTTAAAATAGCAAGTAGTTACTGAATCTGAAATAAATTGATAAAAAGATGAGTAATATCAAATAGTATTATCGTAAAGGCAAGGTGTGAAATATTGGTGAACAATAACATAGGCTTTTTTTCTATATTTACATAATCTCTCACATTTTTATCCTTACGGAATGTCACATCAATACATTTTGATTTTTAAAGAAATTTCTTATGGGAACTAATGCCAAACAACCACAATATTGATTTTTGCATAATGAATAATTCATTTAAGAATTAGGAATATTCTGCTAAACATCATGCTCTAGATTTTTTTGATTAATAGGATAGTTGGATAAAATAATATTAACTTGATTCCTGGAAGTACCAAGACTAAAACATACTTATTTTATTATGATGACTATGGTTTTTTTTTAAAGTACATACTGTATATACCCTGCACATATGTGTATCATGTTCACATATAGAACAGTAGTTCTCAAAGCATAGTCTCTGAGCCACCACCATGAGCATGACCTGGGAACTTTCTAGGAATAAAAATTCTCTGGCCTCACTCCTGCCTGCTAAATCAGAAACTCTACAGCTCCGTCCCAGCAACCTGTGTTTTAACAAACTCTTCAGATGTTCCTAATGTGCATCTGAGTTTGAGCACCGTCATTATAAAAAGATAATATTAATATTGTGTCGTATCAGGCTAATAGTCTGTTGGCCAGAAGCCTCTGGAAGGATTGGTTGCCTCCTGTACCTTAACCTAGCAAGGATGGTGATGTACCTTGGACATCCTTAAGTTCCCTAAAAATTTACATTGACAGACAGTGTGATACAGTACAGAATCCCTAGAGTTACATTTGAGGTTGAATCCTTCTTTGTTGTTTCCTGACCATGTAGCCTCAGTGATGTTACTCTTCCAGTCTCAGTTTCCTCATCAATAAAATGGGAATCATGACATACATCCTACATAAATATGTGCAAATTCTTATGTAGCATTGTGGGATTATGGGTTTCATAAAGTAGATTTTAGTTCTGACGGCAGTCTGCCTCCACGAAATTTGGAGAGAGAGATAGGTTTCTCATTTAAAAATCCCAAGTGAGGGCCATGTGGTTATCACTCATTGTATGAAATAAAGAAACATATTGCTTCTATTCTTAATATATGCCCAGATAGCATAAGTGCTTGGGAAGCAATTAAGGGAACCAGCTGGTTAGGACATTACAGATTTTATTTGTCTCCAGGAAAGTGTGGTGTTTAAAAGCTGGGACAATCTACATAATAGAAAAGAGAAAACTTTTAAAAATCATACTTCTTTTGCTTTCGTTCTAAATTATTCTTTCTTGGATATATTCAAGTAAAAATAAAAATTTTGGGTGCTTTTTCTAAACGTTCAAGAATCTCAGTTTCTCCCTGTGAATGGTGTGTCTGTGTGCTTGCCCTGTTTGTGCTTTGAGTATTTTCTTTATCTACGTTACATTCTGCGTAGCTTTCTTTAGTAAACAGATGAGGTGCAAGTATAAATTTCATGAAAGATGAGAACTTCTTTTCCTGCTCACACTTGTTCCTGTATTCCTTACCCTACTCTCTATTTATTTTGGTATATATGTCAGTTTGGGGGTGACTTGTGTATCAATATTTCTACAGATTAAAAAAGGTGTCAGTACATCATCCTGGCTTGTAACATACACAAAGATAAAATATTATGAGGCTTCATGAGATGGTGTGAGTGTGTTTTCTTATCTACATAAGGAAAATTGCCTGACTCTCACATGCCTGTATATGTTTGTTCCTAGTAAATCACCCAAGGATGGATATCAGGAGAATATCTCCGGAAAATACATACAAACTGTTTATTCAACTTCTGATAGGTGAGTATGTCTTTATTTCCATACATAAAAAGTACACACACACACATGCATGCACACACATTTTTATATATATGTATATATATAATATACGAATATATATATATATATATATATATATATTTCACTAAAATTCCTTTCACAAAATAGAACTTGATCCTTAGGAAGAAAGGAACTGTTAGTAGAAACAAAATTCAGCAGGGTTT